CATGTTCATGATTGATACCATATGGGAACATGGTATTCCACATGATTCAAAATGCAAACAAGAACATTTCATGGCATTATCACTTGGCCGATATTGTACATTCCAAGTGGATTCTAGATGTGTATACATAGACAAATAGTATACGTGAACATCTTCTATATCAGTCTTTCCCGACATAAATAACACTTGCTCGGATTTTATTTGTTCGCGAAATTTGAAAAATATGGCACGAGTAAATATATCAGCTGCATGTCCTTCAATCCTCTTCATACCTGTAAAAAGAAGATGAGTGATATTCTTAGTTTCAGATTGTGCCTTAGCCTCGTTATGGGGAAGTCTTGTAAGTGCTCTATCATATGCCCTTACAAGCTCAAAGAGCCTTAGGCTCACCTTTAGGAATCGATTCAAAAATGCATTCATACTCTCACACGTTGTGTGCTTTTTGCACCAGCAAAAAAATGTCCATGGAGGTATGCATCAGCCCATAAAGTGGTTGCTCACACCTTGCAGTATCACAAAAGGTTTGTTGTACGCATTTGTCCAATATGTAGTATCAAACATCAACACATCACCAAAACACAAATAATCTGTTCGAGATCCACCATCAGTCCAAAACAAATTATTTAATCGATTTTCTTCATCTACATCATATTTATAATAAAACATTGGATCTTGCTCTTCTTTACCACATAAGTAAGCCGAAGCACCTTTTGCGTCACCATCGACAACTTGGGCTCTACGCTCAGTCCCAAAAATGGTTGTACATGTCCATCTGTATGAACCCAACATTCTCATAGCCACCTGCTTGTTGTGTAGCAAAGTCCATAATGTGACTTATCCTTATACCAATATGATGCATTGCACTGCCTTGTGCCTTGTCGGAACTTGTAACATTTAGGTGTGAGCGAAGAAATTGAACACCAAGAGGCCCTATCATGGAATTATTGTGCTTTTTGAAAAATTCATTCACTTTATATTTGTAAGTACTCCAATTGTATTTGATACGAAAACAAGCATGACAACCAACTGTAGTTAATTGTTTTGGTTCCCTTTTACGTTCTTTAACCTCAAGGTATTTGGATTGTCTATGTCCTTCTTTTGAACATACCCAATTCCTTGATATAACCATGTTATTCTTGTTCTTATACAACTGATCCCTTCGAATACTAAAGCCTTTCACCTTAGCATACGAATTATAAAATCTTTTTCTGTTTTCTTCTTAATCAAATGTCATTTTAAACACATCCGTTTCAGTTAATTCATCTAGACGCTTAATATCTCTTTCAGTTAAAATATCATTAAAATTGACGATATCATCTTCATTATGAATTATACTCACCATCATTACTGTCATCATCATCTAGTTCATATATAATGTTATTCTTATTTTGCTCAGTGTTGTCTTCCATCTGCAATAAGCATAAACAAATTAATTAAGAAAAAGTAAGTAAAAACTGGTAAGTACAATACTAGGTGGTAAAATGGATGGTAAGTGGTAAGTTAAGTCACAAAGAGTTGCAAGTAGAATGAGAATGAATGGTAAGTATTGTCTTTTTGAATGGTAATTAAACTCATTTAAACCACACTTACTACTCAATAAGATTGTGCTTGCTACTTTATCAGACTTGACTTATCACTCATTTGAATCACACTTACTACTCAATGAAACTCTACTTACTACTTTGTCAAACTTAACTTATCAGTCATTTAAACAACACTTCCTACTCAATAAGATTTTATTTACTATTTTATCAGACTTGACTTGACATTCATTTAAACCACATTTACTACTTAATGAAACTGTACTTACTACTTTATCATAATCACACTTGCTACTCAATGAGACTCTACTTATTTCTTTATCAAACTTGACTTACCAGCCATTTAAACCACACTTACTAGTCAATGAGATTGTACTTACTATTTTATCATACTTGACTTACCACTGATTTAAACCACACCTACTACTCAATAAGACTATACTTACTACTTTATTAGACTTGACTTACCACTTATTTGAATCACACTTACTATTCAATGAGACTCTACGTATTACTATCAAACTTGACTTATCAGTCATTTAAACAACACTTACTACTCAATAAGACTCTACTTACTATTTTATCATACTTGACTTAAAACTCATTTAAACCACACTTACTACTCAATGAGACTGTACTGACTACTTTATCAGAATCACACTTACTACTCAATGAGACTGTACTTACTACTTTATCAAACTTGACTTATCAGCCATTTAAACCACTCTTACTAGTCAATGAGACTGTACTTACTATTTCATCAGACTTGACTTACTACTCATTTGAATCACACTTACTACTCAGTGAGACTCTCCTAACTACTTTATCAGACTTGACTTACCATTTATTTAAACCACACTTACTACTCAGTGAGACTCTCCTTACTACTTTATCAGACTTGACTTACCACTTATTTAAACCACACTTACTATTCAATAAGATTGTACTTGCTACTTTATCAAACATGACTTATCACTTATTTAAACAATACTTACTACTTAATGAAACTCTACTTACTACTTTATTAGACTTGACTTATCAATCATTTAAACAAAACTTAAGACTACATTTACTATTTCATCAAACTTTAATTTTTTTTTTTTTCTTACCACTTGAATCTCATAATTTTTCTTTTAACTAGGTGAAATGTTGTTCCAACAAAACATAAAATTTATAAATTCAAAATATAATGGAAGTGAAAGTAAAGAGAGAGAGAGAGAGACTTACCTAAGGAGTTCCAGATCAACAACAATTCTATCTTAAAATCTTCAAAAGCTTTAGAAATGAACATCAAATTTTGTTTATGGAATCCTCAAATGAATTTGAAATTTTCCTATATTTTGTTAATCATATTTCTCATTAATTGCATTTATTGTGGTAGATGAAAAAGATACTAGTTTCATTTATTCCCATTCATTGCCATTAAGTAGATAATAAAAAATAAATAAATCATATTCCATGAAATGTAAAAAAATTATAACACTCCCTCTGTCCCAAAATATTAATCCCTTATTCTATTTTTTATTGACCCAAAATATTAGTCCCTCTTCAAAAATCAAGTACAAAAATAATATAGATTTCTTATTTTGCCATTCTTTTAAATTAATAAACAATATAAAAAGTACAATTATGACATTGATATTCCCAAAAAATGTACTATCAAAAGGGTAATTTTGAAAAATTAACTTTTTTAAAGTACAATAATTGTATTACTAAAAAAAGTTGGATTCCCCAAAAGGGACCATTATTTTGGGACAGAGGGAGTAAAATTTATAAATTTCATATTTATTTTGTACATTTTTTTTTTTTTTGGTTTACATTCTATTTTATAAATTTTATATTTATTTTAGAGGTTAGGTGCATTTTATTAATGTTTGAATGACAAGTGTAGTTTTTTGGAATAGTAAGTACAACCATATTAAGTAGTAAGTGTGTTTAGTTGTTGCAGAAAGTTGGAAACCACTCATTTAAACCATACTTACTATTTTATCAGACTTACTTACCACTCATTTAAACTACACTTACTACTCAATGAAACTCTACTTACTACTTTATCAGACTTGACTCATCACTTAAACAATACTTACTACTCAATGGGACTCTACTTACTATTTTAGTAGACTTGATTAATCAATCATTTAAACTAAACTTAAAACTGCATTTACTATTTCATCAAACTTGATTTTTTTTTTTTTTCTTACCACTTAAATCTCATAATTTTTCTTTTAACTAGGTGAAATGTTGTTCCAACAAAACATTAAAATTTATAAATTCAAAATATCATGGAAAGTTAAATATTTAAAATTTTTAAACTTCAAAAATAAACATAAAATTTTGTTCATGGAATCCTCAAATAAATTTTAAATTTTCCTATATTTTAGTAATTACATCTTCATTAATTGCATTTATTATTTTCAAGTGTTGTAAATGAAAAGGAAACTAGGTTTCATTTATTGCCATTAAGTAGATAAATAAATTTTAAAAAAATCATATTTCATAAAATGTAATAAATTATAATAAAATGAATAAAATTCACATTTATTTTGTATATTTTTTTCTTAAATTCTATTTTATAAATTTTATATTTATTTTAGAGGTTTTGAAAATTTATTATAACTTAATTTTTTAAGTTTACATGTTACCTGAATAGCCGGTTAAGTGTATTTTATTAATAATTGAATAGTAAGCATAGTTATTAAAAGTAGTAAGTATGATCATATCAAATAGTAAGTATACTTAGTTATTGTGATAAGTTAAAAACCATTTTTTAGTTTCAAAACCATTGAAAACTACCTTATCTTTTACAAAACAAACTAGATTTCTTAATCTGATTTTAATTATTACCAATCAATAGTTAAATTTATTTTACTTTCAGATCTAATAATCCAAATTATGTCTGGTACATGAAAATCACCTTCATGTATCATAGAAAAATCCAATCAAATGTACCGTATCTGCTTTTGGTTTCTTGCTAAAATAGACAAATAAACTAGAAAAATTAAACATGAAGGGATAAAAGTCAAAGGTTGACAGAAAACATGTCTCCCAAAGGCGGATTAGAGCGACAAGTCGGTTAGAGAAACACTTTGCAGATCCCAAACTGGGTAAAAACATTTGAGAATGTGCAAATAGTGACATGGACACGTGAAAAAAACTAAATGTAGATGGATGAAAAAAAAAAACAAAAAAAAAAAAAAGCTAAACCAAAATTTGAAATAAAAAAATTTGGACATTTGCATATGGGTAATTTGTGTTTTATATAATAGAATAGATATATAATACAATGTCAGAAGTTGACTACAGGGTGCATAAGAAAGAAAAAAATGCTCCTTAAATTTTCGATAAAAAAATAAAAAAAATCATATGCATGAGTTTTCAAAGCAGAGACCTTACATAAATTGTAATGTCTGGTCTGGAATCATACTTGCAGCTTGACAAGAATCAGAAATAAATAACCCATTTGAAAAGGAACCAAGAAATCTATTAGTGCATGGTCAGCCACAAGCTCAATACAAACTTAAATGGATATTCCATTGCTTAATTCACAACCTCAGTCCACACGTTCCAGTACCTATGGAATTGGTGAATAACTACTTAAAAAGGCTAATACAGACATTGAGTTATCGGTTCAGTTTATTTGTTTTCTTTTCAAGTAGACAGGGAAATAATATTAGTGCACAACATAAACAATGGAAAATAATATTCGTTGGTTTTTGATAAACAGATAAACAGTCAACATTAACCGCTTGCATAGAGGTCAATGCTACCCAATTGAAACCGTGAAGTTGCTTGACGATCACGAACTGCCAGAAACCTGAACCTGCAATGGTAATTTTTTTACTTCATATTTTTATAAACTATGTGAAAAAACAAGATTACAAAAGAACGGTTGAGTTCATTCCAAGAGAAGACTTACCTGAATGCATTAGCTAGGAAACCCACTGATCTAATCTTAAATGTCTTCCGCTCGAAACGGTTTTTGAACATCTGAGAACTTTGTTTATCTAAAGCACGCCAACTGGAACCTCCATCATCACTTCCTTCCAAAACCCTGAAAGCATAATATTAATAAAATGTTGAAGATGGTGGCAGTATTTCAATGTAGGACAGTTTGGGAAAGTTTGCAGGGTTAGGTTCTATTATGAAAAAAAAAAAAAAAGAAAGAAAGAAAGAAGAAAAGAAGAGAGGGAGAGAGAGAGAATTGATGATAAATCTAATTTAAAAAGTGTCTAAGGCATTAGATCCAATGGATTTTCTTAGGATAAATTAAAAATACACCCCTTGAGGTTTGCCTAAAATATAGATTACCTCTTGTAGTTTAAAAAATTACAAATACTCCCTTGTTAAAAAAATTTATTTAACAGAATTAACTAAAAAAAAAAAAAATCATAATTACTCTCCTATACAATAATAAAATTACCTAAATTATTAATTGAAAGATATTTATAACATCATTAAAAACTGTTAATTGACTTGATGATTTATTAATAAAATGGGAGATTTGTTATGAAATTAGAAACCTCAGGAGGTGGAATGTAATTTCCAGAACCACAGGAGGCAATTTGTATTTTAAAAAAAAAAAAAATTCATAATTACTCTCCTATACAATAATAAAATTATTTAAATTATTAATTGAAAGATATTTATAACATCATTAAAAACTGTTAATTGACTTGATGATTTATTAATAAAATGGGAGATTTGTTATGAAATTAGAAACCTCAGGAGGTGGAATGTAATTTCCAGAACCACAGGAGGCAATTTGTATTTTAATAAATCTCAGGGAATGTATTTGTAATTTACACATTTTTTTATTGGTGACAGGTCCACCTTTTGTAAAATAGTTAGATGAGAAGTCTTTTTGTTGGTTTTGAAGAATAATTTGTTTCCAATTTTACCCCTTGACTTTTTTTCTTTTTTTTTTCTATTTGTTGACTTTTATTGACTGTCTGTTCAAATTTTTTTCCTATCTGTTTAATTTTTTTCAATTTTATCTGTTCAATTTTATATCTATCTATTCAATTTTTTCCCTAAATTCTATCTATCTGTTCAAATTTATATCTATCGAGTCAATTTTTTCTCCTAAATTCTATACATATGTTCAATTTTTTCCCTAAATTATATTTATATGTTCAATTTTTTTTTCGATATGTTGAAAATCTGTGTAAATTGTTTTGTTTATCTGCTGCAATCATTATCAGCAACATCAATTTTTTTCTAGATTTGTCTCATACATGCACACACTCACAGATATACATACATACACTCATAGATATACATACACTAATACCTATCTGTTGCAATCCAAACCAAACCAAACCACATCTATTCTAAACCCTATCATCATCATCATCATACCACAGATCAAGCACTAATTTTTTCTTTTTTGATCTGTTGTATTTTTTGAACCTATCTGTTCAATTTTTTTGAACAAATCTCAAATTTTATCTGTATAATTTTTAGCTGCAACAACAAACTACAGAAAAAAAAAATTATTTGTTCAACACAAAAACAAAAACAAAAACAAAAACAAAAAATTCTCCTAATCAAACAAAGAGAATCCCATATCTCCTAATTTTTTTTGAACAGATATACCTTTTATATGTTCATTTTCATCATCTCTTCAAATCTCCCATAGTTACAGATCTAATTCTACAAATTCAAATACCATTGAAGCACCTACATATCTGTTTCATCATCATCAACAACAACATTTATCACCATCAACAACAAAAAAAAAAACAAAAAACAAAAACAAGATCAACAATAACAACAAAATTCAAAGCCAAGATCTATTCAATCTTAATAGATCCGTTACAAGAAGAAAAAAAAATAAAAAATCATAGCTAAAAGTATATAATCTATCAAGAGACCAGATAAGATATCGAAACGCTAGAGAAACGATGAAGAGAGAGAGAGAGAGAAATGATGGTTTGAGACATCAGTGCTCAACGTTGGCATACAAAGATATCTCTGATGGCTTTAAAATTGACAAAGATCTAGAAAACAACCTCACCAGTTCCAGATCTAAAACATGTTGTTAGAGATCTGCAACCGACGTACGGTTGAATGCGAAAAGTGGTAGAAGCGCCTCACCATCTATGAAGGTGAGGAGAATAAAGAGAGAAGCCGCGACAGAGGAGAGACACAGCAACGGAGTAAAGACGCAACAGCGGTCTGCGGCGGAGGAGAGAGAGAGAAAGGCGGTAGAGGGAGGCAAAGCAGAGAGTGAGTGAGAGGGAAGAGAAAGAGTAAGAGAGGCTTGTTAGGGTTTTGACCGTATGGAGAGATATACATAAGAAGGGTATTTTGGTCCTTTTGCTTCAGCTTGTCCTTATGAACAAACTATTTTTGCGCTTGGACTTTTGGCCCCAGTGCCCCAAAAAAAACAAAAAAAAAAACCCTTAAAGACGTTCTAGATGAGAAGGGTTGAAAGTGGCTTGAATTCACGAAAAGCTTGTTGATGGAGTCTCCAGCAACTAATTTAGTGTTTTATTGATTAAATTGAATGTAATAGAGGAGGAAGAGTTTAGGGTTAATTAGGGGTTGATTGCACAGGGTACTGAAAACAAGGTTTGCAGCTAGAGAGAGAGAGAGAGAGAATGTTCAATATGGGTTGCTCTCTGCAAGAAAAAAGGGAAACAATATTGTTTCTGAGTTTAAATGCTAGTCCTTGAACTTAGCTTTACTTGCTATCTCTGACGCTTGAGGGGGAAAAAGGAACTGATTTAGCTATCAGATAATAAGTTCCCTAGTTATTTATTTGTCAAGGTTTCAAGGAAACAAAACAGAGAATGACAGTTTTATCAGCATATAATGGGATAATTGTAGGAAAAATAGTCTGCAATTTCTTTTCTTCAAAGAAGTTATTGCAGAGATGGTGTTGATCCAGCAGTGGGAGAAGGCAACGACAGAAGGGAGAGAAAGGGAATTTGATTGAGAAAAAGAGACGTACAAATGAGATAGAAAGAGGGGTAATATGTGTGTGTGTGTGTGTGTGTGTGTGTGTGTGTGTGTGTGAGAGAGAGAGAGAGAGAGAGAGAGAGAGAGAGAATTGATGAGAAAAGAGGGATGATGTGGTGGGTTTATTAGATGCATCTTCCCAAGTTCAATCCATTTCAACATTTATGACAGTTACCAATCATAGTTGGGGATAGTCATCATCTCAATTTTTATTTTATTTTTTTTAGCATCAACAAAATTTTATTAAAAAAGAAAAGAGAGAGGACAAAAAGTCCTCACACAAAGAAAGAGAAAGAGCACAACAGAAGCGCAAAACTCCTAAGCCTAGAGATGGCAAACATCCCTAGAGATCAAGAACAAAGGGACTCCTTTAAAAGGAGGTGATACAAATGCCCAAAATGAAGCCAAATATTCCACCCTATCCCACAAAGCCTCTACACTTGATTCCTTGCCATCAAAGATCCTTGCATTTCTCTTCAACCATCCTTGCATTTCTCTTCAACCATATAGCCTAGAATACAGCAAAAACAATGCATGTCCACATTATTTTGGCTCTCATGGTGCTCCCAAACCCTTTGAACCTAATAAGAAGCATATGAATGCAGTCCTGCGGAGCAACCCACTGATCATCACATAAGCCGAATTCCTCCGAATTCGGGCAATGAAGGAATAAATGATCCGCTACCCCCGAATTCTTCTTGTACATCACACACCATTGAGGACAAAGAGAGTGATTAGGCCTTCTCCTCTGAAAAACATCATATTAGTTGTGACAACCTTTTGAACCAAAGACCACATGAAGAACTTCACTTTATGAGGGACACCCGTTTTCCAAATTTTCTTATAAAAAGGAAACAAGGGAACAAAGGGATTATCAATGAGCTTATCAAAAAAAGATTTACAGGAAAAGACCCCAGAAGAAACAAGATTCCAGACCCTAATGTCACGAGAGGAAGAAAGAGAAACCCCCTTGGATATATTCCCATTGGCAACCAAGCAACAAAATGGGAATGAGCATTCCATTCCACCTTGCATTGCATTCTCAGTTCATTCCTTTCCTGTGTACCAAACATAGCCTGAGGGTATTATTATTGAGTTAAAGAAATGCCTCACCTCCTATTACTGGAAGGCCATTATCATTTGCAAAAATATGTAAAGTATACCTATTACTTTTGTCAAACTCACCTCAACAAAGCCTTATTCTAACCATTTTCATTCAGTTTCTCTGACTTTACATGCCTTCATGTCATTTCTTACTGGATGACATTTTCCATATGCTACCTTCTCCTTATATTACATGTGCTACATCAAATCTGAATCGTATGTAACCACTGGTCTTTGTTGCACTTCACTAGATCATCTCAACCAATTCTCTCATCTAGACCTCAAATAATGTTTTCCATAACTAACACATTCACTTTTTTATTAATTGTTATCTTGCCGCTCATCAAATTCAAAACTGCTCATCAAATTCTACCTAGTTAAATAGAATAGAAAAATCCTTAGTATTACCATAAAGTGGCTTCATGACCTATCATAATCATAAATTCACGGGAATCCTGAATACTATAACAGTGCAGCTGTACATACGAACTCTACCCATTTCACAAACATAATTCTATAATTTATAACTCCTTGGTTTTAATTGTACCTTTCTAGAAGACTAAGTCCTTTCATCCAAACATTTCAATATAACATACTAGAAGATTATTACCCAACAATTATCCCCTTGTTTGCCTGCCCAATACTTTGCTCTTAATTGTCTTAGTTGTTTGGTTTGGTTATTGACAATTTCCACTTTTTTGCCTCCCAGCACCCTACTCCAAATTTTCTAACTAGTATAGCTTGATTATTACATGAATATTAACTACTGTGTTGTCTTGTTCCATTCACTCTCTCTCTCAATTAAAAATAGGAAAATTTGGCTATAAACCCCCTTTACCTTCCTTTCATTGTTAAAAGGACTAAGAAAAAAATTATACTTTCTAAACCCTCTCATAATTATAAAATCTTGCATAAAGGACAAAATTTATTATTTAAATATTTTATTAGACTATTATACCCTCAACTAAATCTTCCCACCTTCTC